TTGGCACAAGATGAAGAAACTCTTCTTTAAAAGTTGGAGAGAGGTTTAAAAAAGTTGGAAGTTGGTTATGTGTTTCAACAAAATTGAATGTTGGTGACAAAGTGCATCAACGGTATTGAAGACAGGTGCTTCAACAAAATTGGGTGTTAGTGACAAAGTGCATCAACGTGAGTTGGAGATAGGTGCTTCAACAAAATTGAGTATTGGTAACAAAGTGCATCAACGGTTGGTGTCAAAGTGCATCAACGTGAGTTGGAGACAAGTGCTTCAACAAAATCGGGTTGGTGACAAAGTGCATCAACGGAAGTTGGAGACATGCGCTTCAATAAAATCGGGTGTTGGTGACAAAGTGCATCAACAGTTGGAGACAAATGTTTCAACAAAATTGGGTGTTGGTGACAAAGTGCATCAAGGAAGCATGGAGACATGTGCTTCATCAAAATCGAAAGTTGGAGAGAAGTGTTCCATTATAACTGCACAACAAACAAGTCAGATGTATACAACTTTGAATTACGGGAGAATGTTGGAAAACTAATTCAAAGTTGTAGTAGAAAGCCTTAATTATTGGAATTTGGTTTATTTAATTCATGTCTAACTATGATTTGCAGTTAGAACAAATATAGGAATAGCTTTCCTGTTTCTAGTTGAAATAGATTTCATACTATTATAAATAGAGGTATTGATAACTTATTTTATGGGTTGAGGAAATAAAGAATTGTAGAGAGCTTTCAGAAATTTATAATAAAATATTTTTCCTTCAAGTTTTTTGACAACCAAACACAAAAAATGACTTTAAACTTTTCAGAAAAAGAATTGGCCATGTTTATAACTTCTTCGTGTGAATTAGAATCTTCAAAAACTATATCCATCAAAGGGATCCTGTAAGAACCTGTTTGGAAAGCCATTTTGGAAATGGATTCGGGTGTAATTGGGTGTAACTACACAGTTTGGCATGTTTGTTTGGCCAAGTAATTACTTGGTCAGCATAGAATTGGATGTAATTGGAGGGTGTAATTACACTCTCCAATTCTCAAGGGGGAGGTGAGAATTGGTGGTAATACACTGTGTAATTACAAGGTTGCATTTTAGTTTATTTCCTTTTTGTTTTTATTTTAATTTATTTGCTTTATAACATTTTGTTTCTATTATTGTACATTATTTATCTTTTATTTCTTTATCTTTACTTCTTGTGATTCCACGTAATTACTTATATTTTATTTATTCTATTTTTTGAAACTACACCTCCTAATATTAGAAATAATGAGTCGTTAATAAACTTGCCATATAATGAGTGATATAATTAAAGTGGAATTTCATTGTTGAATGTGGTTATAAATTTATCATGTTTCCTAATCTTAAGTTGCAGTGGAACTCACTATTACTTTAACGACCCGGCCGGTCGTTTTAAGAATTTACACCCCAATCCCCTATTAACTTCTTTCCCCGTGTTTATTTCTGCTATTTTGATTTGCCGGGATGTTCGGTTTTGAGTTTCGGAGAGTTTTGGGACACTTAGTCCCTAAATGAGAGCTTAAGTTTTGGAAATTTGACCGTAGTCGGAACAGTGTGAAGACGGCCTCGAAATAAAATTCTGATGGTTCCGTTAGCTCCGTTGGGTGATTTCTGGCTTAGGGGCATGTTCGGATTGTGTTTTGGAGGTCCGTAGCTAATTTAGGCTTGAAATGCCGAAAGTCGAATTTTGAAGTTTCTAGTTCGATAGTGAGATTTTGATCCGAGAGTCGGAATGGAATTTTGGAAGTTGGAATAGCTCCGTAGTATTGAATGTGACATGTGTGCAAAATTTCAGGTCATTCGGACGAGGTTTGATAAACTTTTTGATCGAAAGCGTAAATTAAGAGTTTTTGGAGTTCTTAGGCTTGAATCCATGGTTAATTCGATGTTTCAATGCTGTTTTAGGTGTTTTGAAAATTGGTATAAGTTTGGATGGTGGTATAGGACTTGTTCGAATTTTTGGTTGAGGTCCCGAGGGCCTCGGGGTGATTTCGGAGGGTTGTCGGAAGAATTGGAAGTGGTTTAAAGCAGCTGAAGCTGCTGATCCTGTCATAACCGCACTTGCGATTGGGTTCCGCAGGTGCGGAGCCGCAGACGCGACAGAGTCATTGCAGAAGCGGAAAAGGGAGATGCCAGCAGGGACCGCAGAAGCAGGAGCTTACCACAGAAGCGGCACCGCATCTGCGTAAGGGTAACCGCAGGTGCGGAAGCTGGGTTTTAAGTGCAATGTCGTAGATGCGACCATGTCCTCACAGAAGCAGTATTGTAGGTGCGGTCCCAGAGCCGCAGAAGCGGATTAACTGGGCAGAACATATAAATAGTTGCCTTCGCGGGGAAGAAGCCTTGGGGAGCATTTTCAAGGGAGATTTTCAGAGGAATTCATTGGGGGTAAGGTCTTTGGTCCCTAAACTCGTTATTGGAGTGATTTTTATCATTATAAGCATGAAAATTTAAGGAACATCCGTGGTAATTTGGGGGTTAGGACTTGATTAATTAGATACCTTTGAGTGATGATTTGAGGGACCATTTGAGGTCCGATTTTGGTACTTTTGGTATAACTGAACTCGTGAGAATTTGAGGATTCTGGAAATGTAAATTTTACCCGATTCTAAGACGTGGGCCCGAGGGGCATTTTGATCATTTTACCTAATTTCGCGTATTAGCTTAGAATTTAATTGTAGAATCAGTTACTTGAAGTGTTATTTACATTATGCAATTGAATATAATAGATTTGGACCATTTGGAGTCGAGTACTCGTGGCAAGAGTGTGGTTTCGGGTTGATTTTGAGCTAGTTCGAGGTAAGTGGCTTGCCTAACCTTGTGTGGGGGACTTTCCCCTTAGGATTTGGTATATTTGATAATTGAAGTGCCTGGTACGTGAGGTGACGAGTGCGTACTTGAGCTAATTATTGAAAATCCGATTTTCTTTAAGTAAATTCAATTGTATTCCTTTTTCCTATTTTATACTACTTGCAATTTAAGCCTGTTGTTAGCTTAGAAAAGCATGTTTAATTGACTTAACTGCTTATTTGCTTAAACTGCTTTAATTGTATTGTGTGAAGCATGTTTGGTTAGAATTACCTATTTTACTTGGTACGAATTTGAGCTTAATTGAGTATTCTTTGTGTTGTTGCTGTGTGTTTTACTTTGGGACTACGGGACGGCATCCCGGGAGATCCCCTTATGATTAAGCTGAGGTGCGGGATACCGAGAGATCCCTAGCACGTATATTGAGGATACCAAGAGATCCTAGAGATACCAATAGATCCCTATCATATGTGGAGGATACCAAGAGATCCCTGGTATATATTGAGGGTACTAAGAGATCCTCGGGATACTGAGAGATCCCCCGTGATTATCCTTGTGAAGAGTGGTATTTCCTTGTGATTGTTTTTATCTCTGTTCCAGTTATTGAATTCCTTATTATCCTGTATTAAATTCTTACTGTTAGCTTTCGACTATTCTGCTTGTCTTATTCTGTCATCCCTTATATTTTATTTAATCTCAGTAGGGCCCGGACCTTCCTCGTCACTACCTGACTGAGGTTAGGCTTGGCACTTACTGAGTACCGTTATGGTATACTCATGCCCTTTCTGTGCATGTTTTTCATGTGCAGATCCAGGTACCTCCACTCAAACTTATCACGCTTGAGACGAGGCGTTCATGGAGACTCTGAGGTATATCTGCCGCGTCCGCAGACCGAAGAGTCCATTTCTACTCTCCCTTTTGTATTAGCCCTTCCGTGATTTGTGCCTTTTTTAGATATTCTGGAGTTAGACGTTTGTAGACTTTCAAAGACTTGTGATCATGAGATTCCGGGCTTTGGGAAATGTATTTAGTTTTCGAGAGTTGATATTGTATATGCCAAGCGGCACTTTAAATTACTATTTATTTCGCTACTTAGGTTTTAAATTATTTCTTCCGCAAATTGGTTTATTTTCCGCATTGTTAGGCTTACCTAGTCGTATAAACTAGGTGCCGTCACGAGGATTCACGGAGGGCGAACCATGGTCGTGACAATTACTATGTTGGAATTTGATATATGTTAAACTATATTTATTTATTTTGAAATTGCGTTATATTCATGGTACCAATTTACTTGTTTTAGTAGTATTGGCTCACATCGCATGTTGTTTATTTTTTAGTTAGAATTGATAGATTAGTTTTGTGAAATATTTGAATAATGTTATGAAATTATATTAATAACTATTAATTTATTTTATCAAAAATGAATTCCATGATGTTCTTACAAAACGTATATTTTTAATTTTTGTAAGTATCTAAACTAAATATTATTATTTTAAAGAATATATATAAATTATTTTTACAATATTAGTTATAAATATATGATTACTAAATTAATGTATATTCACGAAAAAATATACACCTTAAATACCAAATATAATATCATTTATAATTATAAAAATTTGTAGGTATATATTTATTATATTAACTGTTAAGTTTTGATAATTACTTAATTTAAAATTTAATCTAACTATGTAATTACACTAGTGCAACCAACAGTAAACATGTAATTACACTGTAATTATACTATGACAAACAAACAAGTCGTCTTAATTACACAACTATATAATTACTACCCTAGTAATTACACCAATTTCAATTACAGGGTGGCTTTCCAAACAGACTCTAAATGATATATAAATTTCCAAACATATACTGTAGGGAATTAATTTATTGCTGGGAAACTTATAATATATTTTTTAAGTGGAAATGAAGATGGAAATTGCACATGACAAAATATTATGTTCAGATTCAAAATATTGATTGACATTTCTGGCAGTTCACTACCCATGTTGGTTCACACAGAAATCCCATTACTGGACTCAATATTGGCAATGGAGCATCATATAGTGAAGATTTCACGGGAAGATTCTTCCTTTTTACATGAAACAACACCAGTATGCCATTGTGGACGACTTTAAAGGAAAATGCATCAGATCACGAGATGACAATAAAGTCAGGTGTTGATCAACTAAGATGTTCTATGCATTACCTCTAACAACTGCGTTCCATGTCAAAACTACATATATAGTGCAATAACATTTCAACATTTTGGGTTCTAATTCAACAATCTACATCTTGTACGTTCCACCACTGCAAAATCCAAATGCCAAAATTGCCTTCACCAGCCGTACATAACTTGTGAAAGATACGTCTATGTCTATCGGTTTCTGCAGATATTTGCAAAAAGAAAGTGAAGGGCCACCGTGCATGGTCAGCTCGAAGAACCATCTAACAAGCAGTAATTCCAGATCAACTTCAAGTTCTCTTCTAACATTTTAAACACCACGTTTTCTTCTGCTGCATTTTTGGTAAAAGAACGTAACTCAAATCAATATTTAAGCAATGAAGTAGCAATTCAGAAAATAAAACAGAGGCACAGCATGAAGCTGTTTGTATTTCTGCGGCACAGGCAAGTTGATACCATACATTAACATGATCCTACTGTAAATATTCTTTGAATAAACAAGATATGGATGGATTCAACCCAACAAGAAGCAAAACCAGATACGAATCAGTGGTAAGTTTGTGTTGCTCCAGCTTTTTGGATGAAATTGTTCCCAATTCGGTGGATAAATCAGTAAAGTGGGAGCAAGGTCAAGGTTTATGCTAAGAATACTATAATACGGTTACGAGTAACCCATTACCAATACTGATGTATCATGCAGAGACATCCAAAAATAGAAAACATAAAATAAAAAGACATACATAATTGCTTGTCAGGAAAGGAGAACCTACCCGCAACTGGGATATGATTCCAGGCATTTTCAGGAAAATCTCCCGAGCAACCTGACCAGTTGAAAATGTGAAATCAAATCGATCTGCATGTCGAAGCTTAAACCTAATCGGCTGATTTCTATATGATTTTGCAATTGTGTGATCAACACGTATAACATCATAATCCTTGCCAAAGGGCCATCTCAAGCCACCCTTAACATCTGGGTCCAAAATGGCAGAACCAACAAGATCTTTAATTCCTTTAATCTCCTCATCCTGAAAAATGCAAAGAAGCATCTAAATCACTGGACTCACAGAAAGAATCATCTTACTATACAGAAAGCATAAGTGGTGTTCTTTCAGTAAAACAGTGCAGGAGTCCTGATGAGAAGATGAAGATGAAAGTGGCGTGCAAATGAAATCAGTAACACATGACAATATGTCAATAAAAAGTAAAAATAATATCATACGTACAAATTACTCTCAAGTCTACAGATTTAGGTGTTCTCTAATCCTTGATATCCTGCTCATCTCATAAAAGAAAACTGTTCTACCACTTAAAGATTGTCCAGTAAATCCACATTTTTCCTGATATTGAGATTAATGTTTTAACGTATTTATAGTAGTCGTTATCCTACTCGTCATGTTGTGTTGTGAACCTTCCTTGACGATAAAATCAAAAACCAAAAATGGGGACAAGGGATTTGAATTGGGACCAGGGCAACGACAAGTTTCTTCTACCTTCCACCCTCTCCCCAATAGACCCCCAACATTGAACAAATCGAATGGAAAAGGGAACAGGGGAGAGGAAGCTAATGAAACATAAAATAAGATAAGAAACAGTAATTGTACAGAATGCAGTAAGATTAGCTGCTAACAGTAGAGATGAAATTTTGATACTGTAAACACCAGAAAGAGAATTAGATATGATGGTTCCAAGAAAATTCTCCAATGGAAAGGCAGATTCATGCAGTTGCCAAAAATCAAATCATGACTAGTTTTTTTGGTGATATGTATAGCTTTTACCACTTGGAAACCTGAAATGCGAGCAGTGATTCCTATTTCCTTAAGAACATACTAAATCACTAAACAATTATTCAACCTGACAAGCGCAATCTAGAGGCTAAGGACCTAGTATTAGACAAGGTGAACTGAAGAAATATCAAGACACCTCATTCAAAATAACTGTGAAACATTCAACCCTCCTCAAAGCCACAAAAAAGGGGGCAAAAAATGTTGCACTGGTGAGTAACTGAATGCTGATGTCTATCTCTAATGCTTAGAAAAATACAAACATAGGCAGAGTTACAACTTAATAAAGGCAAAAGGATTGCAAGGAAACAACAAAACAAATGGAGAACGCACATTGAATAGCATAGATCCACTCTACCAGGAAAAACGGTCTCAATGGAGGAAATAACTTACAGATAAAGCTATATGATGATTTTCTTGGTACAGAGCATTAACCTCAGGTCTAAACTCTTTCCAACACAGCTCATGTCTATGACCATGTGTGCTCAACTCAATCTTATAAAGGAAAAGGTCAATGTCATAATAGTTACAGGAAGATAAACAGCAAGAAGTAAAGCGGGCAAAAATATAGGTAGGTGGTGGCAATTATGTTAATGACGATATTGTTATTCTAAAAATAAGAAGTTAATTGAGCATCTTACGAGAAATTTTAGACATAAAAGGTTGAGACTACTCCACAACACATTTGCACGAAATAGTTGAGTCAGGCAGCAATTTATCAACAAGCTACAAAACATAAGGATAGAGCTAAAAGAACCAATACAGGAGGAGGAAGACATTTGTTAGAAGATTAAAAATCATACCGTTAAATAGTGTAATTCTTTCTCTTGCACATATTCAAGTCCAAGTTTCTCAACTACTAGGTTTTCCATGAATTCCACATACGAAGGAGGAATATTCGTATATAAAGATTTTTTCATTTGTCTGAAAGTAGATTCACCAAATGGGTTACTTTTCAGGGATTCTTGACAAATTGAAGAACTCCTGCATCACAAAGAATTTGAAAAGTATTTAATAGACTCCAAAAACCAATGCTTTAAACACTACACAAAAAAGTGTGTGATACATGAAATATATGAGGCTATTAATAGGTGAAAATGGTACTGATGCTACAAAACATCATAGGATATAAAAATATCAGAATTCAGAAGTTTGAAGGATATAGTTGTCTATGTTCATTCCTCGACCAGATATCTTTCCTTGATGATAGCATCCACAATGTAGAATTTTGGATTGAAACTAACCATGACGTATGCTATAGTTGGTTCCTAAAAGTAAAACCTCCACCCTTCCCCTATGCAAAGTAAAAAGGGAAAATTTTCTCTAATCTTGCAGGACATAAAGATTGCATACTGAGCAAATCTGTCTTCATATAAAAGAAAAAAAACAACGTGGCAACTGATTTAAATTAGAAAATTAATTCCTCTAGATATCGGTAATATAAAGATTTTATTTCCCTTATAAAAGAGTGAATGTAAGGCCTCTAAGACCTATCCATAGGATGAAAGTCGTAAAAATGTGAAGTTAGATGGATGAACCGAGATCTTGTCCGTTCAGAAATGTTCACACATCCAATACAAGATGCTTGTTGCATGTATTGAGAATAAAATGAGAAAACGCCGCCTTAGATGGTTAGTCATATCTTGTTTAGACCTCCATATAGAAATTACGAAAAAGGGTTAAAAATGCATCTAAACCATTGGAAAAGGTTTAAAAATGCCCTTCATCCACCTATTGGGCTAAAAATGCCCTCTCATCCACCTTTTTGGTTCACTTATGCCCTTTGACTGTTAGGTCAATACTGAATTAAAAATAATTATTATTTAAATTCCACATGACAACTTCTTATTGGTCAAAATTAAAACATCTAACCTATTAGAAAGACTAACACATATCTAACCATTTTTCGGACCAACCCGTCCCAAACATTGACCCGACCTGAATAAAAAGTTCAACTAAAAAACAGACGTGCCACTTCCATCTAACTCGGGGTTATCTATACCCCTACTGTCATACTTTGGAACAAAAATACTCCTATTTTGGATAGAGTACCACGTGGCAGCACCAGATTAAAACGACCCATTTTTTTTACCCGAACCGTTTTAAAAAAAAACCCACAACCCGATCCCTATTTTTATTTTTTCAGTTTTTAAAAAACGAAAATATTTTTTTCAGTTTTTACAAAAAAAAAAATGCTTTAAAAAAACTGAAAAAATAAAAAATAAAATATTTTTCAAAAACGAAATATTTTGTTCAAACTTTTTACAGTTAATAAAAAACGAAAATATTTTGTTAAAAACAAAAAAAATCTGTTTTTACCATATTTTCAGTTTTTACAAAAACAAAATGCTTTAAAAATTAAAAAATGAAAAAAATATTTTTTATAAAAACTGAAAAAAATAAAAGAAGACTTTACTAAATTAGTGGACTACTGGTGCATTAGTTTAAAAAAACGAAAATATTTTGCAAAATATGTTTTTTAAGTTTTACAAAAAGAATAATAATTATTTTTAATTCAGCACTGACCTAACGGTCATAGGGCATAAGTGAACCAAAAAAAGTGGATGGAGGGGTATTTTTAGCCCAATAGGTGAATGAAGGATATTTTTAAACCTTTTCCAATAGTAACAGGTGAACAGCCCTAACTCCTAAGTGAAAGAGGCGGAAAAGAAGATTTAGGGTAGGAAATAGGAATAGTATTTAGGGTAGTATAGTACTATTAGTATAATATACTAACTTAACCGGGTTAAGTTATTTAACCCTAAAATTTTAGGGTAGTATAGTACTATTAGTATAATATACTAACTTAACCGGGTTAAGTTATTTAACCCTAAAATTTTAGGGTAGTATAGTACTATTAGTATAATATACTAACTTAACCGGGTTAAGTTATTTAACCCTAAAATTTTAGGGTAGTATAGTACTATTAGTATAATATACTAACTTAACCGGGTTAAGTTATTTAACCCTAAAATTTTAGGGTAGTATAGTATTTAACTATTTATATATAGGCCCATATAATTTCGGATTTCGGATCGGATCGGATTAAAATTATGCCAATCCGAATCCAATCCGAAAATCCGAAATAGAGTATGTCGGATCGGATTTCGGATATCCGATCCAAATGCACAGCCCTAGTAACAGACGTGCCACTTCCATCTAACTCAGGGTTATTTATACCCCTACTGTCATACTTTGGAACAAAAATACTCCTATTTTGGATGGAGTGCCACGTGGCAGCACCAGATTAAAACAACCCATTTTTTTTACCCGAACCGTTTTAAAAAAAACCCACAACCCGATCTCTATTTTTAGTTTTTTTAAAAATTTCAGTTTTTAAAAAACGAAAATATTTTTTTCAGTTTTTAAAAAACGAAAATATTTTTTTCAGTTTTTACAAAAAAAATGCTTTAAAAAAACTGAAAAATAAAATATTTTTCAAAAACGAAATATTTTGTTCAAACTTTTTTCAGTTTTTTTAAAACGAAAATATTTTGTTAAGAACAAAAAAATCTGTTTTTACCATTTTTTCAGTTTTTACAAAAACAAAATGCTTTAAAAACTAAAAAAATGAAAAGAAAAAAAAGATTTTGTAAAAACTGAAAAAAAAATAAAAGAAGACTGTACTAAATTAGTGGACTACTGGTGCATTAGTTTAAAAAAATGAAAATATTTTGCAAAATATTTTTTTTTAAGTTTTACAAAAAGAATAATAATTATTTTTAATTCAGCATTGACCTAACGGTCATGGGGCATAAGTGAACCAAAAAAGTGGATGGAGGGATATTTTTAGCCTAATAAGTGGATGGAAGATATTTTTAAACCTTTTCCAATAGTTTAGGGGTATTTTTAACCCCTTTTCGTAAAAATTATAATGATTAAAGGTACTATATCAAGACGAGGTAAATCTAAAATCACATGGAAAAAAAACTATAACCTCTTGGAATCAAAGTGGACTTAGACACAGAGTGTAATGCAAGTAAGGAACTAAAAAAGCAGTACTAACCATGTAGGATGAAGGACTAGTTGTTATTGTTATAATTACATTAGGCTTGGTGTTCGCCAAAAGTCTTTTTTGCCAAGACTTGTATGAACATAGAGACTCTCTAGTTTAGAGAACTCCTAAGGTGCCGGACAAGAAAAGATTTTGTAATATTAGAAGAAAATGAACCCAACGAGAGCAGAATTAATGTATCCAGAGGACTCATATAACCAACTCCAACTAGTTTAGGAATGAGATCAAATTGATTGATTAATTGTTTTCTTAAAGTAATTATACAACTAGGAGACATGATCTTTAAACAACAATGGCGAAGACTGTATGTTAGAGTATGAAGGCGATGGTACTTCTCTAATCACAATAAAGAATCAAAAGAATCAAGCCAACATACAATTCTCCTTTTGATAAATATATTTATGCAGATTAGTCTAATTCAGATGCCAAAATTCCACCGTGGAATCTCTGCTCTACTCTTTCGTGCCATTCTCTTATCCCAGTTTAAATGATAACACCATTTGTCCATTCAATGTTATAGTCATGTTTGTGATCTTTTAATGTATTAGTTTTGTGGGATTACAATTTACAAGGAGTTGAAAACATATTTAAGTAATAAAAAGTACACTCTATGGTAAGAAAAGCATATAGGTTAAAGTCTCACCACACTATTTGTTAAAAAAACTCACATGCTTTTCGCAAGAAAAAGAGTTGAGCAGCATGTGAGGGGCATATTGAAAGCATAACTAAATAACTAAAAGTATGATTTCTCAAACAATTTTTTAAACTTTTAGATGATAGGGTCACACGATTCAACACAAGCCAAACAAATTGATAAACGAGACAACTTCTAATAAGTTTGTTGGAAGAAAATACATCATTGATGTCTTCGATATACAGCCTAACTTGCCTAATGACAAACATAGAGAAGAGATTACCAATTAATAAAAACTTTGTTCCTTCGTCATCTGTCGACAATATAGCACATCAACTAATGATTTATTAGCTTAAACTCTACATCATTTTTTTAAAAAATTTTACACAGTCACGCATTTTCCAGACGGGAACATTCGATAGTGTCAGTGAGCCAAAAACATTGAACCATGCGTTATCCCAATTTCACATAATTTCTGTATCCTTTAATTCCCCTATATATAGGAATTATTTAAACACTTCTCTACTTTCATCATCGAACTTTTTATTATTCGTGAGCCAAAAGGGGGTGAATATATGGGGTAATTGACTAGGAGAAACAGCCACTCAATTTTTAGGAGAAACTCTTAATAAATATTGAATTAAACGGGCACATGATGATGTCTTTAAGAGGAAACTAGTAACACGACGATAAAGCATAGCATGTGAAATGAAGAATACTAACCCATAAAAGTATATATTTTTCCAAAAGGAGCTACTAAATCTGGCTTTACTTTTGTCATATCATCAGCTTCTTCCATTTCGCACTTCACACGTTGAAAAGACAAAATTAAGTCTTGCTTCACATTTTCCTCCACCAAACTCCATGCTTTATCTTCAAACTCAGTCGTACTTTGATTGCAACCTGAAAAAGTGTACATATTACTTAGTAAAGAGTACTGAATTAAGATCTCAAAAATAAAAACCAAAATCGATATACACCACTTCTTGATTTAAAGGTTGATATAGTGACCTAGAAAACCCAGCAGAAAACAAAAAGGTTGCCACCATATCACAAAATTTGTACTAACGAGTGGTGCCAGATATTCTAACCGATAAAAGCATCCATCCCATTCGTATCGTGCACCCGTAAGTCTTTCCTTAGATAAAATAAAAAGATTTTGGGGTTAGGGGGAGGAACTTTTGAATAATTGTAGTATCAAGTACGTAATAAACAAGTGAGAAGTTCATATCCAACCATGTACCATGCATAGTTATATCACTGTTTCTCTGGCACAAATTAAATTAATTAAATGGTATTTGAGGTTGCAGAATTGTATATTAGGAAAACCAAAATTCATTTAAATAGGAATTGTACGTCACGGACTCACACTCACGTCCAAAATGTTGCGCATATAGTACCCACTAAAGCTACAATAGTTAACACATAACGAAGCACATTTAAGTAGATAGTAGTACCTTCGATTAGAACCAAAGAGTGAGGATTTGTGCCTGATTTCCGCTCCAAGCTCCGCCGGAACAGGTTGGAGAGACGAAAACTGAGAATTATCAGCTAATCCAACGGTGAACCATTTCGAAACTGCATCATTAGCGTAAACGATATTTTTCCCGCCCAAATATTTTTGCTTTCTCTTTTGTTCCCCAAACGACTTGATATATATTCAGG